GTGAGATGATGTGAGACGCATGTAGCATGTGAGATGATGTGAGACGCATGTAGCATGTGAGATGATGTGAGACGCATGTAGCATGTGAGATGATGTGAGACGCATGTAGCATGTGAGATGATGTGAGACGCATGTAGCATGTGAGATGATGTGAGACGCATGTAGCATGTGAGATGATGTGAGACGCATGTAGCATGTGAGATGATGTGAGACGCATGTAGCATGTGAGATGATGTGAGACGCATGTAGCATGTGAGATGATGTGAGACGCATGTAGCATGTGAGATGATGTGAGACGCATGTAGCATGTGAGATGATGTGAGACGCATGTAGCATGTGAGATGATGTGAGACGCATGTAGCATGTGAGATTGATGTGAGACGCATGTAGCATGTGAGATGATGTGAGACGCATGTAGCATGTGAGATGATGTGAGACGCATGTAGCATGTGAGATGATGTGAGACGCATGTAGCATGTGAGATGATGTGAGACGCATGTAGCATGTGAGATGATGTGAGACGCATGTAGCATGTGAGATGATGTGAGACGCATGTAGCATGTGAGATGATGTGAGACGCATGTAGCATGTGAGATGATGTGAGACGCATGTAGCATGTGAGATGATGTGAGACGCATGTAGCATGTGAGATGATGTGAGACGCATGTAGCATGTGAGATGATGTGAGACGCATGTAGCATGTGAGATGATGTGAGACGCATGTAGCATGTGAGATGAGTGAGACGCATGTAGCATGTGACGATGAGTGAGACGCATGTAGCATGTGAGATGATGTGAGACGCATGTAGCATGTGAGATGATGTGAGACGCATGTAGCATGTGAGATGATGTGAGACGCAGTAGCATGTGAGATGATGTGAGCGCATGTAGCATGTGAGATGATGTGAGACGCATGTAGCATGTGAGATGATGTGAGACGCATGTAGCATGTGAGATGATGTGAGACGCATGTAGCATGTGAGATGATGTGAGACGCATGTAGCATGTGAGATGATTGTGAGACGCATGTAGCATGTGAGATGATGTGAGACGCAATGTAGCATGTGAGATGATGTGAGACGCATGTAGCATGTGAGATGAGTGAGACGCATGTAGCATGTGAGATGATGTGAGACGCATGTAGCATGTGAGATGATGTGAGACGCATGTAGCATGTGAGATGATGTGAGACGCATGTAGCATGTGAGATGATGTGAGACGCATGTAGCATGTGAGATGATGTGAGACGCATGTAGCATGTGAGATGATGTGAGACGCATGTAGCATGTGAGATGATGTGAGACGCATGTAGCATGTGAGATGATGTGAGACGCATGTAGCATGTGAGATTGATGTGAGACGCATGTAGCATGTGAGATGATGTGAGACGCATGTAGCATGTGAGATGATGTGAGACGCATGTAGCATGTGAGATGATGTGAGACGCATGTAGCATGTGAGATGATGTGAGACGCATGTAGCATGTGAGATGATGTGAGACGCATGTAGCATGTGAGATGATGTGAGACGCATGTAGCATGTGAGATGATGTGAGACGCATGTAGCATGTGAGATGATGTGAGACGCATGTAGCATGTGAGATGATGTGAGACGCATGTAGCATGTGAGATGATGTGAGACGCATGTAGCATGTGAGATGATGTGAGACGCATGTAGCATGTGAGATGATGTGAGACGCATGTAGCATGTGAGATGATGTGAGACGCATGTAGCATGTGAGATGATGTGAGACGCATGTAGCATGTGAGATGATGTGAGACGCATGTAGCATGTGAGATGATGTGAGACGCATGTAGCATGTGAGATGATGTGAGACGCATGTAGCATGTGAGATGATGTGAGACGCATGTAGCATGTGAGATGATGTGAGACGCATGTAGCATGTGAGATGATGTGAGACGCATGTAGCATGTGAGATGATGTGAGACGCATGTAGCATGTGAGATGATGTGAGACGCATGTAGCATGTGAGATGATGTGAGACGCATGTAGCATGTGAGATGATGTGAGACGCATGTAGCATGTGAGATGATGTGAGACGCATGTAGCATGTGAGATGATGTTGAGACGCATGTAGCATGTGAGATGATGTGAGACGCATGTAGCATGTGAGATGATGTGAGACGCATGTAGCATGTGAGATGATGTGAGACGCATGTAGCATGTGAGATGATGTGAGACGCATGTAGCATGTGAGATGATGTGAGACGCATGTAGCATGTGAGATGATGTGAGACGCATGTAGCATGTGAGATGATGTGAGACGCATGTAGCATGTGAGATGATGTGAGACGCATGTAGCATGTGAGATGATGTGAGACGCATGTAGCATGTGAGATGATGTGAGACGCATGTAGCATGTGAGATGATGTGAGACGCATGTAGCATGTGAGATGATGTGAGACGCATGTAGCATGTGAGATGATGTGAGACGCATGTAGCATGTGAGATGATGTGAGACGCATGTAGCATGTGAGATGATGTGAGACGCATGTAGCATGTGAGATGATGTGAGACGCATGTAGCATGTGAGATGGATGTGAGACGCATGTAGCATGTGAGATGATGTGAGACGCATGTAGCATGTGAGATGATGTGAGACGCATGTAGCATGTGAGATGATGTGAGACGCATGTAGCATGTGAGATGATGTGAGACGCATGTAGCATGTGAGATGATGTGAGACGCATGTAGCATGTGAGATGATGTGAGACGCATGTAGCATGTGAGATGATGTGAGACGCATGTAGCATGTGAGATGATGTGAGACGCATGTAGCATGTGAGATGATGTGAGACGCATGTAGCATGTGAGATGATGTGAGACGCATGTAGCATGTGAGATGATGTGAGACGCATGTAGCATGTGAGATGATGTGAGACGCATGTAGCATGTGAGATGATGTGAGACGCATGTAGCATGTGAGATGATGTGAGACGCATGTAGCATGTGAGATGATGTGAGACGCATGTAGCATGTGAGATGATGTGAGACGCATGTAGCATGTGAGATGATGTGAGACGCATGTAGCATGTGAGATGATGTGAGACGCATGTAGCATGTGAGATGATGTGAGACGCATGTAGCATGTGAGATGATGTGAGACGCATGTAGCATGTGAGATGATGTGAGACGCATGTAGCATGTGAGATGATGTGAGACGCATGTAGCATGTGAGATGATGTGAGACGCATGTAGCATGTGAGATGATTGTGAGACGCATGTAGCATGTGAGATGATGTGAGACGCATGTAGCATGTGAGATGATGTGAGACGCATGTAGCATGTGAGATGATGTGAGACGCATGTAGCATGTGAGATGATGTGAGACGCATGTAGCATGTGAGATGATGTGAGACGCATGTAGCATGTGAGATGATGTGAGACGCATGTAGCATGTGAGATGATGTGAGACGCATGTAGCATGTGAGATGATGTGAGACGCATGTAGCATGTGAGATGATGTGAGACGCATGTAGCATGTGAGATGATGTGAGACGCATGTAGCATGTGAGATGATGTGAGACGCATGTAGCATGTGAGATGATGTGAGACGCATGTAGCATGTGAGATGATGTGAGACGCATGTAGCATGTGAGATGATGTGAGACGCATGTAGCATGTGAGATGATGTGAGACGCATGTAGCATGTGAGATGATGTGAGACGCATGTAGCATGTGAGATGATGTGAGACGCATGTAGCATGTGAGATGATGTGAGACGCATGTAGCATGTGAGATGATGTGAGACGCATGTAGCATGTGAGATGATGTGAGACGCATGTAGCATGTGAGATGATGTGAGACGCATGTAGCATGTGAGATGATGTGAGACGCATGTAGCATGTGAGATGATGTGAGACGCATGTAGCATGTGAGATGATGTGAGACGCATGTAGCATGTGAGATGATGTGAGACGCATGTAGCATGTGAGATGATGTGAGACGCATGTAGCATGTGAGATGATGTGAGACGCATGTAGCATGTGAGATGATGTGAGACGCATGTAGCATGTGAGATGATGTGAGACGCATGTAGCATGTGAGATGATGTGAGACGCATGTAGCATGTGAGATGATGTGAGACGCATGTAGCATGTGAGATGATGTGAGACGCATGTAGCATGTGAGATGATGTGAGACGCATGTAGCATGTGAGATGATGTGAGACGCATGTAGCATGTGAGATGATGTGAGACGCATGTAGCATGTGAGATGATGTGAGACGCATGTAGCATGTGAGATGATGTGAGACGCATGTAGCATGTGAGATGATGTGAGACGCATGTAGCATGTGAGATGATGTGAGACGCATGTAGCATGTGAGATGATGTGAGACGCATGTAGCATGTTGAGATGATGTGAGACGCATGTAGCATGTGAGATGATGTGAGACGCATGTAGCATGTGAGATGATGTGAGACGCATGTAGCATGTGAGATGATGTGAGACGCATGTAGCATGTGAGATGATGTGAGACGCATGTAGCATGTGAGATGATGTGAGACGCATGTAGCATGTGAGATGATGTGAGACGCATGTAGCATGTGAGATGATGTGAGACGCATGTAGCATGTGAGATGATGTGAGACGCATGTAGCATGTGAGATGATGTGAGACGCATGTAGCATGTGAGATGATGTGAGACGCATGTAGCATGTGAGATGATGTGAGACGCATGTAGCATGTGAGATGATGTGAGACGCATGTAGCACTTCCCTGGCTCGCATAGTCGGCAGCGGCTAGCGAGATGGACCGGCGAGAGCAATGGGTGGGCAGAGTGAAGGTGGCGGGCGAGTGAGGGCGAGGTGGTGGGGTGGCAGACCAGCTTGGTGGCAGCAAGTGGTTGCTTCATACCATAGCACGCCATGTGCACTCGCACCTCCCCTCACTCTCACGCGCCCACTCTCATCGCCGCCACCTTGAGTATGGGCTGTGTGTGGTGCTATCACCCCCCCCCACCTTCCCTCCCCACGCACCTTGAGCATGCGCTTGGTGTCGTCATCAGCGCTGTGGTAGTCCACACCTGCCAGCTCGGCAGCGCGCTGCACGATGGGGAAGATGAGATCCGTCTCGTAGTTGCTCGGTACCTGCCGGGGGGGGCACCATGCGCGGAGAATGGGTAAGATGAGGGGCGACCATGGGAGAGGGGGTTCGAGTTATGGTTGCTTGGGAGGGACTGGGGAGCTGGGAGGTGAGAAGGGCGGCGCTTGGCCTGCATGTGAATTGGTCACGAATGAACAATTCACTCAGCACGGCAGCAGTCATGCATTCAGCACGAGGGAGTGCAAGAATACCAGCATGGCCAAGGCATCACACCCCACTGCGGGTCACCAGCAAGCACCACTTCCTGCACGCACCAGCTGCACTGCACACCCCACCGCAAGTCACCTGCTGCACACCGCATCCCACCACGCCCCACCTGCTGCAGGATCTGAGCGAGGCGCTCAAGGCCGAGCCGCGTGTTGTTGCAGCGCAGTCAGAGCAGCAACCCCAACCCACCAACCGCATGCATGCCACCAGTGGGGAACCTACTCACACTCCCCTCACCCACCTGCACCGCACCTCACCCAGCTGCACCCACCCACCTGCTGCAGGATCTGAGCGAGGCGCTCAAGGCCGAGTCCCGTGTCGATGTTCTTGCAGCGCAGCGGCTCCAACAGCATACCCCTCACTCATCTGCACCGCACCACACCCAGCTGCACCCACCCACCTGCTGCAGGATCTGGGCAAGGCGTTCAAGGCCGAGCCCCGTGTCGATGTTCTTGCAGCGCAGCGGCTCCAGCGCCCCGTCGTCAAGGCGGTTGCTCTCCATGAAGACCAGATTGTAGAACTCTATGAAGCGCGCGTCGTCAGCCAGGTCCTGAGTCAGAGGCTCACAGCACACGAAACCAGGGGGCGGTTGGGTGGGAGCAGGGGATGAGAGGTTGCTGTCCATGAAGACGGGGTTGTAAAACTTTATGAAGCGACTGTCGTCGCCCAGATCCTGAGATAGAGGCCAGGCCAGGGGGCGGGCGGGCGGGCGGGCGGGAGCAGGGGATGAGAGGTTGCTCTCCATGAAGATGAGGTTGCTGTGGAACTCTATGAACTGACTGTCGTCAGCCAGATCCTGCCACGGTGGCCAGGGGGCGAGCGGGCGGGAGCAGGGGGTGGGGGAGGGTGGGAGCAGGGGATGAGGGGGCACTGTTGAGGCGCTTCATGAGGCGGTTGCTCTCCATGAAGACCCGGCTGTAGAACTCCATGAAGCGCGAGTCGTCGCCCAGATCCTGCGATAGAGGCATACAGCACAGCACATGGTGCAAGGGGGGCAGGGCAAAGGACACATGGCGCAGGGAGGGGCGGTTGCTCTGCACGAGTCGAGTCAAAGCTCAACTGGACTGACCATGTGTACAGTGTACCAGACGGCTGACAGTGCTGACAGGGCTCACAGGGCTGACAGGGGCCCATTATTCAAGATGAAGGCCGTGCTGAGGTCGCTGCACAGACCCAGTCCCAACACTCATGGCACCCTGGGTGCACTTCTCCCGCATGCACTGCACAGCACAGGTATGCATGAACCGACAGCACGCCGCCCAGGGTACTCACGGCGCCCTTAATGTCCCGCTCCGGGTGGAAATCGGAGTAGAGCTCGCTGCACTGGACCTCCATGCACAGCACACGTATGCATGAAAGCTGCCCCCTGGCATGCACAGGTACTCACAGCGCCCTCGATGCCGCGTTCAGGGTGGAAGTCGTAGTAGAGCTCACTGCACGGCCCACACGGCCCCGTGGGCCCGCTCGCCCAGAAGTTGTCCTCCTCGTCCAGCCGCTGGATGCGCTCCGGACTCACGCCCACCTGGTGTGTTGAGGGTGGGGGGAAAGGAAAAGGGAAAGGGGGATGGTGTGTGTGGGTGCGGCGGGTTGTGAGTCGACTCAAAAGGGTGCGGGTGGCTTTTGAGAATTCCCAGAAGTTGTCTTTCTTGCCCAGCCGCTGGATGTGCTCCGCCGCCACGCCCACCTGGTGTTGTTGGACAGGAGGCGGGGAGGGTGGGGGTGCGGGTGGGGGAATGGAACGGGTACAGACTGTATAGTTAAGTGCGCGAGCAGAAGCTGTGGTGATCATGCAGTGTCTGTGTGGTGCACTCAGTGGCAGTCCCGTGTGGTAATGTGCGGGTGGGGAGAGAGAGGCACAACAATCCCCAGTTACAAGCAGCGCAGGAGTACATGTGAACCTGAGCACACAGCAGGCCGAGGGTTTCAGGGAACGGAGGAGACTACGAGTGGCATGCGTTGCATTCTTACTGCCTCCCATCCCACGTGCCGCGAACGCATGAGGCACGAGCGAGCAGCAGCAGCAGCAGCAGCAGCGGGGGGTGAGAAGCAGCAGCAGGAGCGACGGGCACGCACCTGGTCTTTCCAGATGCAGGGGCAGGGGTGGGTGGGGGTGGGGCAGGGGGCGCGTACCTGGTCCTTCCAGATGGCGTACGTCTCATCGTCATCCCGGAAGACGCTCACCCAGATGCGCTCCTCTGGTATGCCAAACCTGCCCTCCCAGCGCACACCACACACCACACGCGTGGGGGGGAGCAGCAGAGCAGTACAGTGCACATCAACAACAGATGGTGCATGTGTCACATGGAGGGAGGGGGTCGCGTGGGTACAACGATGAGGCAGCATTGAGGGCGTATCTCGCAAAGGTCAACTGTTCATGCTACTGTTGGCGTCATGCGGAAATACCACATGACACCAACTCGGATTTCGAAGCTCGGGTGCCCCGGAATTGGTGTGACATGACACCAACCCGTTATATGACGGGACGGGTTGGTGTCATGAGCGATGTGAACAGTTGCCTTGACACCTTTGCGAGATACGCCCTGAGAAGGGGTGAGGCCAACCAAGTTGGGTGCAGAGAAGAGGCAAGGCAGAGCAGGCATGTGTGCACGTGTGCGAGGAGGGTACATGGCGGGCGATAAGTGCCCCGCCGCATGAGCCTCTTTCGCATTTCGAAGAGGTGTGGTGCCGCTCGATGCAGTGCAGTGCGGTGCATTGCGGTGCAGCGAGCCACTCCTTCCACAGCACTCACTCGTGAGTGGCGAGCTGCCAGGCCCACTGGCAGGCCTCTTGCTTGAAGTAATCGCCGAAGCTGAAGTTGCCGAGCATCTCAAAGAAGGTGTGGTGCCGTGCAGTGCGCCCCACGTTCTCCACATCGTTGGTGCGCACACAGCGCTGGCTCGTTGTGGCGCGCGGCACACTGGGTGGCACCTGGTGGTGGCGGGATGATGGGATGGCGGGAAGGTGGGATGGCGGGAAGGTGGGATGGCGGGAAGGTGGGATGGCGGGAAGGTGGGATGGCGGGAAGGTGGGATGGCGGGAAGGTGGGATGGCGGGGAGGTGGAAGGGGAGTTGGCAAGGCGGGTGGTGGTGTGGCAGCACTCGGTGCTGAGTGGGTGTGGCGTGGTGGGGCGCACTGTTGGAGACCACAGGGGGAAGGTGGGATTCGTGTGCACCACCGCGGGTGCTTGCATGGTGGCACTATGGCAGCGGGCGAGGGGGAGATGAGGGCATAATAGATAGTTGGCGATGGGGCGATGGGAGGGGAGAACGGGGAACCGACCTGGCCAAGGAAGACGGGTTTGAAGGGCAGCATGCCGGCGATGGTGAGCAGCACGGTGGGGTCTGCCGGCACCAGCGAGGCGGACGGCAGCACGGCATGGCCCCTGGCCGCGTAGAACTCCAGGAACCGCCGCCTTAGTGCGCTGCCCGCCACCGCTGGATCCACTGCTGTCACTGGCGCTGCTGGCGCTGCTGGCGCTGTTGTGGTTAAGGGTGCGGGTGGTGCGAGTTAGATGCGCGGCCGGGAAGCAGTGAGGGTGGGGAAACAGTGAGGGCGGGGAAGCAGAGAGATTGGGGGGAACAAAGGGGGGGGGGGAAAGCAGGGAGGGTGGGGGGAGCAGAGAAAAATCAGCTGATAATCGGGAGGATGGAGGGGTGTTGCCGGGATACAAGCGGAATGGGAGAGAGTGGGTGGAGTGGGGAGAGACAAGGCGTGGTAGGAGGAAGGTGATAGGAGGAGAGGAAAGGAGGACAGAGAAACGCACCATGGCAGACGGAGGCAGATCGGTAAGGGGGGCAGGTCAGTGGGCGAGAGCGAAGGGACTGCAGCCGCAGGACGCAGATGAGCAAGAGGCTTGTTGGAGCGGGAACGGGGTAGGGGGGTGGGGCGACGGGTCGAGTGCGCGCAAGAGGCTTGTTGTAGAGGATCACGGGCGCGCATATGCGCAGCGAGACCTACCTTCCGCAGTGGCGTGCCCGCCGCCATCGCTGCCCGCGTCAGCTGCCGCCCGCACCGACGCAGCGCGCGATAAAGCGGGCCGCGACGACGCGCGCCGAGCGGTGAGAGGCGAGACGCGAGGCGCGGAGGAGAGGAGCGAGGGGGAGGGGGCGAGGCGAGATGCGTGCAGGGTCGGTAAGTGGCGCCGTGGCGATGAGAGGCGCGAGAGGCGGGACGGGGATGGCCGGGAGTGACGCGCGTGCGAGTGCGAGTGGCCTGGTGGAGGGGAGGGACGGGTGGGAGAAGGCGACAATGGGATCAACGAACTCCATTCGCCAATCGCGCACGCAATTCAGAGATAAGGTCGTGCAATTCAGCGACAAGGGCGTGTGACTCGGCGAAAAAAGGGCGCTGCGACGAGGTCTGACCTGCGAGCACGTGGCAGCCACGTGTAGCGGGCAACGTCCGATTGAGCAGCAAACGCCAAGACGTTGCCATGGCGATCCGCGATAAATACCGCGTCGCTTCTCAGACCACTGCCAGCACTACCGCCTCGCTAGCTCGTTCCGCTGCGGCCGCCGAAACAACAAGTGTGTCTGCTCTGCAACCCGATCGCTTGTCAGTGTCTCGTTTTATGCTCGACACAAATTTGAAAGCTGAACCTCTCTGAACCGATCAACCCTACGCTGTGGTTGATGGAAAAGGTCGTCGTTGGGTGTCCACGTGGCGCAGCAACTTCGAGGTTGCGGTGGGCGCAACGTGCAATCCGTGCGTGCCACGACGCAGGTGAGTGGGCAAGAGTTGTGGGAAAGGGAAAAGATCGAGAGATTTGCTCCAATCCCGTGTTTGGAGATTGGAATATATATGTTGAGGCTCCCGAATGGCATGCAGTCCGAATGGGTTTTAGTTTTTTCCTTGCCCGCGGACAGCTTGCTGACTCACTCGGTAGCGTCGTCTAGCGCTCTGGTAGCGCTACCGAGCGCTACCGACGCTACCGAGTGCAATATATTGGGGGTTGCACACGTAGCCTCCATTTGCTCGCGTGGTTCTACATTTAAAGCGGCAGTATACATTCATCTGTGTGTTTTTTCGGGGTATTTCTATTGCACACCGTTTGACACACGTTGATTCGTTTGCGAAGAGGCTCTCTTCTGGAACTGTGCGTGCGACCCAGTCAAACAAGACTGGTGGAACTATTCAGTTTCGCTAGGGACGATGGGTTGGGAAAACGGAATCAAGCGAATATATTGTTATTTCGTTAGGGGGGGAAGGTTTGGGGGAAGAATGCGCGGAAGGGCGGAAGCCCTAGGTCAAGTTTCAGGCCCTGTTCGATAGCCTAACGGAACGGGGACGCGAGGGGTTGGTTCTGTGAGTTTCATCCCGAACCAGACGCAAAAAAATGTTGCAACCGCTAAAACTTTCCCCCTCCCGTTCCGTTGCAGGCGAGACACCTGCTATCGAACATGGCCTCGGTTGGTTTGGGAACCCCCAGTCCCCTCCCTCTTTCCGCCTCGATGGTTTCTCCACAAACGTGTACTTGGTTCACCCTGTTTTCAAGTGATAAACCAAGGCCTGTCCCTGGAGGTATGTAGACCGCAGCTTTAATGCCCAAGACCTGAATTACTCAACGGAAGTCAACTGAGTATTTCTAGGTTCGGCAAGCAGGCAGTTGGAGGTTCGGATGGGTTGAGTGACAGGCAAATTCTCAAAACCTGTTTGCGAGAGAAAGCAGTTCGCAACAAACTGTGCACTTGCTGATTGGTTGTAAAAAGCAGGCAGGGCCCTTCTTCCCAATTCGACAAACCTGAGAAGCAACGTGCCAGGGTAACTGTGCACAGGCCGAGCCCTTCACCCTTCGGGAGGGTGTGGTTGGGACTCTCACCAACCCAACCTGCTCTGCTCTACGACTCTGTATTTTTTTGCGCGACGTTGTCTGGTAACCAGCATGGCTCGGGAGGTCAACTTTGGGCTCGGTAGGCAAACTGTGCACAGTTTGCATTTTTTTGTTTTTTTTTGTAATTCAGGTCTTGGGCTTTAACCGATAATTTCTCGAGCGGTCTTGCTAGGGGATTCCAGCAGCCTTTGATTTACCCAGCACATTACCCTACAAGGGTACATATCCCCGAAACTAGTGCACGCTCATATTGGTTTTTGCGCGATCTTTTATATGACCACGCAAAAGTTTCAGGGATATATACCCTTGTAGGTTAATGTGCCGGGTAAAAAAAGACTGCGGGAATCCCCTGGCAAGACCACTCGAGCAATTATCAGTTAAATGTAGAACCACGCGAGCAAATGGAGGCCACGTGTGCAACCCTCAATCTCCAAACACGGGTTTGGAGCAAATCTCTCGAAAACATCAGTGCCAGAAGGGTGACCACCAGGGGAAGAGAGGCTCGGAACTACACAAACTGTTGCTCGAGGAGGGGTTAACACATGGTCATCGTTTATTGCACGTATTTCTGTTACTAGTGGCTTGTACCGACTCGCATTTTCGCTCACGCGTCGTTTTTCCTGGAAATCGTTAATGATTCATGACTTCCCACCCAGTAGCGTCGTTCCGCGAGCCGATTCGACCAAGAACTCCTAGGGCGGCAAAAAAGAACTAAAAACAGAAATATGGATGCATTTTTGGGATGGATCAACCCTAACAACGATAACCTTTCTGGAGTTTAGGGTTGATTCTTCCCCGAGTCGCATTCGTTTCCGAATGGGTTATATATATTTTCTTGCGCGTTTCCGATCAGTAGGGTGATATGTATCACCCATAATATCATAAGTTGTTTTGTACTCACGGTTTAAAACGGCGAATATAAGTTCCAGAAGAATTCGTCGCGCGCGTTGTAGTAGACGACGGTCATAACCCTAAAAAAAAACAAACTGAGCAAGAAATTTGGTTCTTGTAGCATTTCTCCTTTACTCACCGTTCGGCTTGTTCGCCTAGTAGTTTGGGCAGCCCCGGGTGTAAATCATATGGTCGAGATTTACCGCCCTACTTTGGTCATCCCTCTGGTACCCTTCAGCCCCAATTTGATAATTTCCTGTGGGAAATGACGAGCAAGAAGGGAAAATATTCGAATGGTAACATAAATGGGGCGCAATAACGGCCATGTTCGCCAGCGCTTTGAAGATACAAATTCGAGACGGGATGGCCACGGGATGGGGGGAACCCGCCAAACTGGTTTGGGGTCTCGACAAGCTGGCGAAATTTCCCGTTAGAAATGGTGCGGGTGCCAACGGAATCTAGAACCACCCTCCCACCTTCGGAAGCGGGGGGGATCCCGCCCAATCCCAACTCGATTCCGTTGCAATTCTACGTGGTGGGAGGAATTTCGATGGAATCGGCGTGGGCACAACCCTTGGCAGAACGCGAATGTGCATGGATGTTTCGTATGTGATTGATTACGTATGAAATGGTGTACGTTGGACACGCACAACTGAACCGTTTGGTTCAGACGAAATCGTAGGCTCGACAAGATTTTTTGGGGGCTGACCAGGCTAAAGGACCCTAACGAATGTTAGAATACTAAGGAGAATAGTTGGTGATTAGGTCAAGGGGAAGGGGTACAAGAACAACATTGAGAGAAATTTTGTACCCCCTAGTGCTAACACCCATATAGCCTACAGCACATAAGCATATATGTTTTGACACACCCCCATAGGTGAAAAGGGGGATAGCCAGAGAAAGCAATGGTCACAAGACCAGTCAAAAGAAACGACAAAACAAAGCAAGCTCAGGGTGGATCACGAAGTCACCACACACTCTGAGCACAAGTAAATGGCCACAAGGCCACTTCACATGCAGGGTTATATAATAGAGAACAAGCAGTACGGTGATCAAAACCTAGCAAGTGCAAGCATGCAGGTATATGTATATAGATCACAGTACAAACAAACTCAAGAAGTGAGCAAGTGAGGCCAAGTAGGTACAAGGCCTAAAACAGTACAGAAACGCTGATGATCACAAGGCTGAAGTGCCTTGGTGAATATATCAGCAGTGTTGGCCCGAGAGGCCACGTAAGCAAGACGAAGCTGACCACGCTGCTGCAACTCTCGAGCAAGGAAGTAGCGGAGAGCGATGTGCTTCGTTCTGTGCTCCAGTCTGTGCTCCTGACACAAGGCAATCATGGCCTTGCTGTCGACGTATAGAACTGGAGGAGAACGAGGCGTCTCTCCCAAGTCGGTCAGCAGGTAGGTGAGCCAGCGTAACTCCTGTGCAGCCATGGCCCCTACGTAGATCTCAGCCTCACAACTGGAGCTGAGAACAGAAGAGGAGCGGGTAGACCGCCACGAAACAGAGCCGGAGGCAAGGCTGAAGGTGTAACGCAATGACGACCGCTGCGTAGCCAAGTCGTCAACCCTAGAAGCGTCTGCGTGACCAGTGAGGACAACTTGAGCCCGTCCTCCAAGCACGAGCCCCATGCCCGACATACTGCACAAGTAGCGCATCACCCTCTTAGCGGCCTTCCAGTGCTCTGGTCGGTGTCTCCCGTGCGCAACGTAGCGTGCCAGGATGCTAAGAGGGTAAGCAAGGTCAGGTCGAGTGCAGGTCATCAGGAGCATGAGGCAGCCCACAAGCTCTGGATACGGGCCACTCGGCTCTACAGACTCATCCGAAGGCAGAGCTGAGAGCGAGTGACCGGTAGGCAGAGGAGTGGACTGTGGCGAGGAGTACTGGAAGTCGAAGCGCTGAAGGACCTGCTGCACCATGTGTGACCGAGTCAAGGTAATGGTGCGCTATGCTCTGTCCCGGGTGATCTGCAAGCCAAGATAGCTGCGCAGCTCAACCAGGTCTGTGCACGTGTGTCTCTTCTGCAGCTCCAACTTCACGTGGGCCAGTCCAGCAGTGTCAGCAATGGCAAAGACCAAGTCGTCGACGTACACGAGGATGTAGAACGGCGGCAGTGAAGTGTCAGTGCGCAGAAACAGCGACGGGTCAGCGGTCGAAGGAGCAAACCCAAGAGCCGCAAGCGCCGTCCTCAGTGTGTCGTGCCACTCGCGAGGCGCTTGGCGGAGACCGTAGACTGGCCGCCGGAGGCTCCACTGGGTACCTGCAGGAAACGACCCAGTGAAGCTAGGAGGGCGGCGCAGCCAGATCTCCTCGTGCAGGCTGCCCTGTAGGAAAGCAGTGCTGAAGTCAAGAGAGTGAAGCTCGTAGTCACGTTGAGCGGCGACGTGCAGCAGAACCCGAAGAGTGGTCATCTTCGGGGTAGGGGAGAAGGTCTGGAAGAAGTCAACTCCCTCTCGCTGACTGAAGCCTCGTGCAACGTAACGCG